CTCTCTCTCTCTCTCTCTCTCTCTCTCTCTCTCTCTCTCTCACTCTCTCTCTCTCAGGCTTTGTTATTCTGGTAGGATTGTATGTGTGATGTGAAATAGGGTGCTGAAAATAGCATCCTGACTTCTTCCTGATCTCAGAGGAAAAGATTTCAGTATTTCACCAAGACTGTGATTATGGATGCATGGGCTGAAAGAGGTTTCTGTTGCCACTAATACTACAGAGATATGTAGGGGGACTAGCCTGGGTCGCCTTGGGGTCTGAAATGGGACAGCCCTCATTTTCAGATTGCCACATGAAAAGACCCTCACCTCCTACAGAGGCTCAGGGTCATCCTCTGTGACCTTTGCAGTCTCGTGTGGCCTGTGAGGGGCTGAAATCTAGGAGGGACCATGCACAGCCCCAGGCCCCAGGCCTGCTCTCATCACCTCCATTGTGTCTCCACAGAGTCAGCAACCACACCCTCCATCTTAGCCAGCAAAACAGTAGTCATTGAAAATAAAGATGCCGTGGTCCTGATCTGCCTCACAATAGACACTGGGATCTCCATCCTGTGGCACTTCAATAACGACCATCTGTGGCTTACAGACAGGATGGCACTGTCCTGGGACAAGAGAATCCTCACCATCAATCCTGTCAGGAGGGAGGATGCTGGGGAGTATCAGTGTGAAGTCTTGAGGTTGTATGTTTCCAGCAGAAGTGACCCGCTAACCTTGACTGTAATTAGTAAGTCACCCTTGACCTCTCCCACTTCCTCCTTGTATGCCTCACTTGGGGGGGGTAGTGTGAAATGGAGGAGCCTTGAGGAGTGGGCGCCTCCTCAGAGCCTGTGGGGTAACATGGGGAAGAACCAGAATTAGTCCAATCTTGCTGGTTCTGGAGATACAGCTGTCTGACCTGGGCAAGATTCAGCCTCCTGAGCCTCAGTTTCCCCATCTGTCAAACTGGAACAGAACATCTGGATCTCAGGGGTGTTGTGAGGGAGACATTGAAATGAAACCCCTTGGGCTAGTGCAGAGTCAGGTCTCAAGGAATGTGATTTTTTAAATTAACATTGTTTTCATTAACTGAAAGTCAAGCAGAACTTGGTTACAGTTTTATTTTGTCTCTTCTATTCTGTGACCCTCTGTAGACTCTCAGACTTTTATGTTCAGGTTCTGATCGTGCAGCGTGAGCAGGACATCCTCTCCCCTGGGGAGCAGGGTCAGGTGAGGGGATGGAAACTTCTCCCACAGCCTGACACAGGCCGACAGGGACACGTCAGCTCATGTTACTATTCCTCGTCCGCGCTGAGGTGACGGTGGGCTCTGCCCTCAGACCACCAGAGCGATGGGGCAGAAGAGAGGGGCAGGCACCGTGGGGACGAGGCCTGAGGGAGAATGGCCGGAGGCGGTGCTGCTGCCTGGGGGTGACTGTGAGGAGGTGGAGCAGGTCCAGGTCTGGGCTGTGACAGCAGGAGGAGGCAGCAGCCAGGAGGGGCCTGGGACGCTGAGGAGACACACGGCCTCAGACCGTGACCTTCCTCCCCCTCCCGGCCCTTCCTGCCAGGCTCCTCACCGGGCCCTGGGGTGGCCCTGGGCTCATCTCCCCTGTCTCTGTCAGCAGGAGACTCCTCTGTCACAGGCCTCTCTGCAGGGGCCATCGCTGGCATCGTGATCGCGGTCCTGATATTTCAGGCAGCTGCCCTGGGGTGGGTCCTGTTCCTCAAATATGGTAGAAGGTAAGAGGTATTTCCCACAGCTGACCCTGTCCTCACATGCCCTACAGGGAGGACAGATACCCCATTCTAGATGCTGGGCCCAGGTCCCCCAGCTTCCCAGCTCCCCACAACTGTTCCATCTCCATGCAGCAACTCTCTCACCAGCTGCTGGCCTGGGGGGTTTCATCAGAACCTCCTCATCTCTCCCCATGAGCTCAGGGAAGGCCCCTCAGAGCTGTCCTCATCACTCACAGACCCCCAGCAAGGAGGTGGGATAGACTTAATAGCAGCATCCCCCATTGGTTAAATCCACCATCCCTCCCTAACCCCCACCCCCCACCCCTGCAGATATTTTTGACCCCTCTTATCAAAGCAGATGGGGAGGAAAGAGAGGACTGTCACATTCAGCATCTCATAGCCTGAGGGTTCTCCCCACAGGAGAGGAATCTCATCCAGGGACATCCACACACCTGGGCTCTCTGAGTATCCTACACACACCAGGCCCTGCTGTCCCTCAATTTGATTCCTTTCCTGGCTCCTGGGTCTTTCTGGGGTAACTTACACATGGACCCCCATCTCGTGTAGTCCTTTCCTTCTGGGCCCAGGACAGATGTGACTTCTTCAGGTCTTTCTGTACCCCCTGTTGTGGGTCCTCCCCTCCTAAACAGCCCTGGTGGCTGATCTCCACGCCCTGCTGTGATGGGGACCTTCCTTGTGCCCTGTCCAGACACCATGCCTGCGCCCTTTCCTCCCCTGCCCTCACTGATCATCTGGCCTTTCCTAGGACACGTGACAAGCGAGGCCTATCAGAGCACCAGCCCCCTGCGCCCACCCCTGGTGAGTGTTCACACATACTCAGGACCCTGGAGCACCCCTGTCCTGTGTCTACTCCTGCCTTTCAGCCCTGGTCTCTAGCCCTTTCCCTGGGGCTCACGGAGGTGCTCAGAAGCCACTCAGTCCCAAGGACCCCAACTGACCAATCAGCCTGACTTATGGGCCAGACTCACCTCTGGGACCTGAAAAGCCTACAGCATGAACTGACAGGCCTCAGGACTAGCACCAGACTCGTGGCACCTTAAGTTGACCACACTGGACCCCCAAATAAGCTGTTCCCCATAGAGAGCCAGTCCTCACGCCAGCACATGGGGGAGGACTGAATAATAATGTTGATGCTGTGTTTAAAAAAAAAAAGGATTCACTTTTTACTGAATCCTTAAACATCAGATCATCTCTCTTGAGGGGATGTTCCTTTTAGCTGAAATCCCCCCTATGCCTCCTGGGAGAATGGATCAAAGCCCCTTACACCTATGGGTGCTAACTTGTGTCTTTGCTCCCAGACCCTGGTCCATCAGGCAACGCCACCTTCTCGGTAAGCCCACCCCTCCCCAACCCTGCACCCTGGTTCCTAGCTGCACAGACTCGAGGTGGGGACTGTCTAACCTCTGAAGGGTAGCAAGACCCGCAGAATAGTCAGAACAAGGCTAATCCTGCCCTGGCCTGATCTGGATCTCTTTATGAGGCTGAATCTCTTCCCACCCCACCCTGTCTTACTCCTCCCTCAGCCTGAGGAGACCATGGAGTCCAGTCAGGAACAGAGTGGGCACTGGGGCATCAGTCAGAGGTCCAAAGCCAAAAAGGAGTGGGGTACAACCAGGATCAGCGCTGGGGTTTGGGACTATAGCTTTGGAGTCGGCTGCTTAGAGGTAGAGCTGTTAACTCCTGAGAAATGACCCCCTCTTCTGTCCCCTAAAACCTGCTCTCTCTCCCCCTACCCAGACCCCCAATCCAGGCCCTGCACCAGCTGCTGTTCCCATCTACCAGGTGAGTGTGGATGATGAATGTCCTGGCCCATCTGCCTGAGGGGACCCAGGCTCTGCCCCCAGCTGCCTCCAGCTGTGCTTCAGTATCAGGAAAGGGGGAACAGTGGGTGGTTGAGGAGGGAGAGGCCTGGGGGCAGAAACACCCCTCTCAGCACATCCAGGTCCCTGACAGAAAAGCTTCAGATAGCTCAGGCCCTGGTGGATGCTGGACATGTTCTGAAAAGCATACAGGGGCTCAGAGGCCTCTTTTTTTTACAGGAGTTACTGTACCGTGACACAAACATTTACGGCCGGATCAACCCCATGGCAGAAGCGGCTTCTTAGTGTCTTCCAGGAACTGCTCCTTTAGAGCTGTGTCAGGGTCCCCTGAGACCCCAGGCCTAGTGGGGTCGGAGCTGGAACCTGAGTCAGAGAACTAGTTGTGAACCCTAAGAGCATTCTGGAATATGCCCAGGTCTTTGTCCCTCAATTTCTGGAGGCTCTAGCAGGCTGCCCTGTGCCCTGACTAGACTAAGGCTCCACACCCCTGAAAATGTGTGTGAAGGGGGTTCTCAGCTCACACTAGACCAGACCTATGACCTATCATGGACCACCTGAGAGGGTCTGAATAAAGAGAAACTCCCTTTACTTGCTCTTTTCCTCTGAATGGGAACTTCTGTGTAGAAATTCCAGATTTGGATCCATTCTCTTCTGAGTCTCACAGTCAAGCTCTTTTCTAAGGCACCCCAAATCTCTCTCTATCCCCTGAGAATTAGGAGGGGAGGGCAGGTATGTGGGAGGGGGAAGCAGGTGTGCAGGTGGGGAGGGTGGTGCCAACATGAAGGTGAGCTCATGGAACCCTGAGCCGGGTTCCACAACCAAGGCCATGCACCCCTCCTGGGCTTGCCCCTTTGCAAATGTGCACTGGGTCTCAGGAGCACAGAAGACAGGGCCATCTGATGTCCTTGAAAAGATGAACAAGTAAGGCGCTTCCCGGGGCTCACCTCCTGGGTGGGGCTTCTCTGCAGCCCGCGGTGTCCTGGACCTTCCACCTCTTCTCTATGGCTGAGAGAATGTTGTCGCCATCACCCAAGGACAGAGATGATTTGCTTGCACCTGGGATAGGGATACAGGCACTCTGGCTTCCCCCCACGCTGGACCCTGCTCCCCAAAACCTCAAGAGACCCCTAGCCATCCAGATAGAAAACCTCAGAGACAGAGCCTCCTCTGAGGCAGCATGTCTCCCAGGTGACACTGGACCAGGAAACCTCTGGACACATGGGCTCAGCTCACACTAGAGTGGGGTTGATGCCTGGGACATCAGCACAGGGCTTGGTCTCACTGACCTCTCAGCCTGCAGGTCAGAGCCCACCTCTGCCCAGGGCTCAGCATCAACTTCACCCTCCACAGCCTGGTTAGCATCCTTGACATTGGCCCCAAGTCTGGAGAAGACACCACAGGCCTCTTTGCGGGAGCCATCGCTGTCATTGTGATTGGGGTCCTGTCGGTAGTTTTGATGACAATAAGCCTGGGTTGGGTCCTGTTCCTCAAATTTGGTGGACGGTAAGAGGGTAAGAATCCCAAGGTCATGAATATGGTATCTAGTCACCTATGGTGACAGAAATAGCCTTGTATAAGCACACAAGCTTGACTGAAATGTTGTTGTATATATGACAGATGATTGTAAATTCAAGCCTGGGATAGTGTTCAGAGTTTACACTGTTTGTAAATTCTGGAGAAACAACCAAGATTCCTTCAGGACAAAACTTCTGGGCGGTGACTTCCTCCTGCACACCCCTCCATGACCACCAGAGGGCAGCGGCGCACACCCAGAAGTGGAGCCTCCCTGGGGGCAGCTGACCTGCCCGGCATAACCCCCTTCCCACACTCACAGCCTGGCACACGGTCCAGGGGTCTGCCCCTCATGTCACCTAGCCACAGTCCTTGCTCTCCATTCCCCACACTGGACTCTCAGCCCCTCATCTGGCCAGGTGTTGGCCCACTTAAGGTCTGTCCTCCATCACCCCCTCCTCCATCTGAAACTGAGCAGATGTCCTCTCACTCAGTCCCACATGGGGGGAGGGGGAGCACCATATGTGTTCTGACCACACTGGACCTTTCCCTTCATCCCCTCCACCATCACTAACTAGCTACCCTGTGACCAAGACTCAGTGGTGACTCCTAATCAGGTGGAGGGATCACATCAGCCTGTTCTTTGTGGAGACCCGGGGTCACACTTTGGGCATTATTCCCCACAAGGGCCATTCTCTCCCCTCCCCACCCTGCCGGGTCACAGGGGCTTGTGCAGCTGCCAAGCAACATGCCAGGATGGGGAACTTCCAGGGATCAAGATACTAGATATGCCAAAATCTGAAAATCAGCCAAAACTTGAAAACAAAAGATTCAATTATCTGCTCCAAAAAGTCCAGTTCCTGTAGATTCTATGACCACCTTAGGACAAAGCAGAGCTTGAATCTGTCCTTGCCTCCCAGCAGAGCTGTTTCTCTGGAAGGGTCTGAAGTGTCCCAGCAGGGCTGTGTCTCTGGAAGGGTCAGATGTCCGCAAGCAAGTGGGTCATCTAGGCCCTGAAAGCTTGCAGACTCTGCTCCGGAGCATGGACTCAGTGTGAATGCAAAGTCAGGTGCAGCCTCATGTGGACTGTTATGAGGGGAAATGTTGACAGGGTGTGTTCTGCCACTGTTGTCAGAGGAACGACAACAATGAACTCTGAACCAGTGAATGTCACCCTGGATGAACTCCATGCACACATGACTTTGTGGATTCTCCCCACATTTCCATTCTTATGATATCTCAGGAGCCAAAGTTACAGGCCTCAAGCAGCTCTCCTGCCGACCTGTGACTATGCAGGTGCCTCTCATTCTCTTTCTCCTTTTCTTAATAAATCTGCCCTTTTAAAATGTAAATAACAAATTACAACTCCCAACATGCCATAAACCTGACTTCTGAGTAGAGGATGTTGGGAGCTAGGGGGGTGGCGGAGCTAAGCAACCATACTTGGTTTACAAGTCAACACATACAGGCTCCAACACTCTTACTTTTCCAGCTTCATTCAGCTCACACCCTAGAACTTTGGAAGGAAACTCTTGGAGAAGACACATGGAAGAAGACTCATGAGGGAGAGAAATGTAGAGATACTTGAAAGTGAGACTTGGAAAAGAGACTTATGGTAAGAGGGTGTCCTAGGTCCTTGGCAAAAATAGTGACAACCGTTATCTTGGCTTCATGTTGGATTATGTGAATTTATTCTCTTGCCTTCTGTCCCAGCTTTCTGGGACATGCCTAACACCTTTCTTGTGGTTCCTTCCCAGTAGGTACCTTAGACTCCTGAGCTAACTTTCAGGTCTTAACGGCCCCACTTCAAGTCAACCCTATTTAGCTAGGCATTTGTCCATGACAGGATGAGTAATTAGGAGAGTTTTACTGGGAAACTTATTTAAGATCCTTTCCTCTCTCTCTCTCTCTCTCTCTCTCTCTCTCTCTCTCTCTCTGATACACACAAACACGCACACTAATTCTATTAAGAATTATACTAAAAGGGCCTTCCCTGGTGACACAATGGGTTAAAACTCAACACTATGAAGCTATCTGCTGCCACTGCAGCATGAGTTTGATCTCTGGCCAGGGAGCTGACCCACATGGCATGGCAGACCTCTCCTGACCCACCCACTGCTCCCCTCAGCAGTGGATTTTAGTCAGGCTGCCTGTTCTGCTCCCCACTCTGTCTCTGGTGAATCCTCTCACCTTGTGCACCTCTGGTCTGTCCCCCAGTTCTTGTATGCATAAATAAGTAAATCTTTAAAAACAAAAAATAATTAGCTAAGAGTCTACCTCCTTTGCCTTTGTGCATGATGATGGCGGAATCCCTTTTATAGCATGCACCCATTAACAGAGGTTCCTGTCTGCCTTTCAGTTATGTACTAACAGTGTGAACTGACTGTAACGTACATTGTCACCAAATATGGTATTAATGACATCATGCTTTGCAGTTAGTGGGACTATTTGTTTAAGAAGATCCCCCAACTTCTCCACATCTGCAAAATCCTGAGCTGCTTTGCAGTACTGGAGATGAGGAATCACTGAGGGAGGAAGGCATGGCCAAGACTTTCCACTGAGTGCCCAACATGCTGTGCTTTAATTGTTTGTCTCCACATCTGCCCACCCGTTGGTCTATGCAGAGGGAGCCATTTGCTGTTCGTTTAAAAAAAAAAAAAAAAACCGTGAAGCTGCCTCCATAGTCACCTAAAGGTGGAAAATCTAAAAGTTGCTACCAGAACCACACCGTGCTCGCTGGGTCCATGCAAGTAAGAGCTTCTCAAATTGCATAAGGGCAGTAACAGCTGGTGTCTCAGAAAACACCAGCCTCTCCACTACGGATCTGACAAAAACATGCTTCGCACAGCACTGTTTCACTTCTACTTTCCACATCTCCTGTCAGACTGATGGAACCCTAGCTTCAAAGGAGTGGGGAAGTGTGTTGGAGCTTTCTAGCTACTGCAACATGGGAAAATACTCAAAAGGAGGAAGGTTTGGTGAGCAAACAAAAATACACTATCTAAAACCCCTGGGATATTTTCTCTTCAGCTTTCTATATCCAGGGGAAAGCCCACATCTAATTTTTCCCCTAGTAGATAAGATCATCCACCCTCCCAGACTAAGGGCCAATGGGAGCTTCAGGCTTTGGCTTGGGCATGATTCACCAGAAGGGAAAAAAAAAAAATTCTGGTAGCCCCTGGTGAGCCTGACATGTTCATTGAGAATGTCATACGTTCAAGAGTATGTCATCATCTATTCAGAAACTGAATCTGTTCAATTTACTCACTCGTCATCTATTCAGGAATTGTTTAATGAACACCTACTATGTGTTGGCCCTGCTGAGTGATGTTGGAGACACTTGTGACTAAGGCAATCCCAGTTCTGCTCTCAAAAAACTCCTAGTCCAGTGGGGGGGACACAAAAAGAAATGACCAGAGTATGCAGGGTTGGGGTGGGAGTGCCTGAAGGGATGTGAAACCAAGGGAATGCCTGACCCACCAAGGGAGTCAGGAAGGGCTTCCTGGAGGAAGGGACTTCTGAGCTGGTGCCAGTATACATAGGAATTACCCAGGCCAAGGGGAAGAAAATGGCATCCCAGTGTTTCAGAGAAAGGCCTGGGAGTAGGAAATATATGTGTATGTATTTAGTATTAGTATTTCCTCTCACTATTCTTTGAGAGTATGTGGAGGTGCTGCTGAAGTATGGGCACCTGTCTTTCAGCCCAAGAAGTAATACTGCAAAGAACAGAAAGAGAAACAGAGCCAGCCAGGCAGAAGATGAAGTTCTGTGACCGCCACTTAACACCTTCTCCCTCCTGGGTTCCTAATCTTTTGTCTCTGAGCTGTTCCCATCTATGGAAGCCCTGGGGAGGGCTTTTCTCTTGCCTGTTGCCAGCAGCCCAATCCCCAGCGCACCAAATCTCAGTTTACAAACAAGCAGTCTATTTTTCTTAAAATAACTACAAGCAAAAGAACTTCCCTGAAGTGGCCAAAAATAAAAAGAAACAAAAAGAAGAATTTAATACAAGGATCCAGAAAGATCTCCAGGAATCCAAGAGTGTATCCATTAGTGCTTGCTATGGAAC